GACAGCAACAGCAGCAAGAGCAGCAGCAGCAGCAACAACAGAAGGAATTATGCTCGATAGATATGTTGTTTTGTGTGTGTATTAGGTTTTATGATTGCTTGTCTTGCTGCGGCACGGACTTGCTGCTGATAAAGACAATGATGCCGGGAGTAACAGACGGCCAACTAAAAAGAAAACTAAAAATAGAAGAAAAAAAAAACGCGGCGAGGGTAGAGGCCGCACTCGCAACCAAACGTTCTCTCTCCCTGCAGACATACGAACAGGTACAGACAGATCCATGCGCATGCATGCATGCATCCATGCATGCATGCATGTGTACGTGCATGCATGCATGCATCAATTGGTAGCCTTGAGGTGTATGAACATGCATGCATGCATGCATGTGCAGACACCTCAAGCCTACCAATTCTGCGTGCTTGAGTAGCACCGCCAGGTGCTGCACCACCAGCAGCTGCTGCAGCACGAGCAGCTGCTGCAGCACAAGCGGCTGCTGCAGCACGAGCAGCTGCTGCAGCACCAGCAGCTGGTGCTGCAGCAGCAGCTGTTTTATCACTAGAAGTTGCAGCAGGTCCAGGTGCTGCAGCAGCACCAGTAGCGGGTGTATCACCAGGTGCTGCAGCAGCAGCTCCTGGTGATACACCCGCTGCTGCTGCTGCTGCTGCAGCAGCTGCTGCTGCAGCAGCGCAGCAGCAGCAGCAAAGTAGCGGGCTGTACGTGTAGCTGCTGCTCGGGTGTGTGGGGTTGGGGTGTATGTACAGCTTCACGGGTCCATCCGGCGGGAGCTGCACTGTCAGCCCTTCAACGACTCAGACGAGGAGCCGCCCCCGAGGGCATTAGGAAATAGAGTTGCTGCTGCTGCAGGTGAGGAGACTATCTATTTGTCTCTCTGTCTGTGTTGCTGTTGTATGCATGTATGTGTCTCTGCATGCATGCGAGCTCGGGCATGCTGCTGCTCTGTTCACCTTTTTATAGGGGTTGGTGGTGGTATTGGGGTGTCTAGACAGCTGGCAGCGCGCTTGCTGCTGCTGCCAGCAGCTGCAGCAGCAGCAGCAGCAGCAGCAGCAGGAGGAACTCTTAGAGAGGTGTTTCACTTGTCTCCTCATATGTTCTTGTTATGCATGCATGCGTTGTTTTGTTGCAGCTCCTGCTACGCCGTCCAGCAGCAGCGGCGGTCTGTTGGCGCTGCTGGGAGAGGAGACAGGAGGAGACACCTTGGGGGGGCCAGAGGGGACAGAGCCCGGGGGGACTGTCTCCTCAGCTGCGGGGGGGGAGGCCTCGGAGCCGCTTGACTCTTCTCTTATGGCGCTGTTGGGGGCGGGGCCGTTCTAGATAGAATGGTTTTGTCTCTGTCTCCTTTTGTGTCTCCTTTTGTGTCTCCTTTGCTGCTCGTGTCAGTTGTCTCCTCTCGTGTCAGTGTCTCCTCTCTTCTCGTGTCAGTGTCTCCTCTCTTCTCGTGTCAGTGTCTCCTCTCGTGTCAGTGTTTCTTCTTTTGCTGCTGCTGTTGCTGCTGTCGCAGCAACAGCAGCAGCACAAGAAGAAACACAAAAAAAGATATGCGGGGAGAGACACCACCCCTTACGGTCCCTCATCGAGGGGCTTCCGTGGCTGGAGCCGCCGCAGCTTCATCTGGGGCGACTCTGTTTAGTTTGTAGCCAAGTTATATAATCCGGATAGCTAGCTAGAGGCTTGGCTAGCTAGATATCTAGCTAGCTATAAGCCTGGTTAGCTAGATGTCTAGCTAGCTATAAGCCTGGCTAGCTGGATGTCTAGCTAGCTAGAGGCCTGGCTAGCTAGATGTCTAGCTAGCTAGAGGCCTGGCTAGCTAGAGGCCTGGCTAGCTAGAGGCCTGGCTAGCTATATGTCTAGCTAGCTAGAGACCTGGCTAGCTAGATGTCTAGCTAGCTATAAGCCTGGCTAGCTATATGTCTAGCTAGCTATAAGCTTGGCTAGCTAGGTGTCTAGCTAGCTAGAGGCCTAGCTAGCTAGCCGACAGCTTCGCTATCTGCCTAGCTAGCGAACTGCCTAGCTAGCTAGTCCCGCCTAGCTAACGGATCGCGCCTAGTCAGCTAGCTAGCTAGCTAGCCAGCTAGCTAGCTAGCCAGCTAGCTAGCTAGCCAGCTAGCTAGGCGGCCTTCCGCATGCAGATGCATTTTTAATCCGCGTGGGCGCATGCANAGCTAGCTAGCCAGCTAGCTAGGCGGCCTTCCGCATGCAGATGCATTTTTAATCCGCGTGGGCGCATGCAGCTCAAGAGCAGAGCTGGCAGCCCCAAACTGAGTCGACGTAGGGGACTGCATCAGTTGTTAGTGTTGAGGGTGGCGTTGTCTCCCTCCCCTCTAGACAGAAAGAACGCAAACGCATGCACTAGCATATGCATGCGGCTCTCTAGGTGCATGCATGCGTATACAAAGGTTCGCTGCGACGCCTCTAAGGAGATGCACGCAAGCTCCTGAGCAGCAACGATGCCAGTTAGCTACGGGACTAGCTAGCTACCCAGCTAGCTAGCTAGCCATGCGATTAGCTAGCTGCCCCCTAGCTAGCCACCGGAGTTGATAGCCCCCCGATTGACTAGCCACCCCACCAGCTAGCCACCCGCCTGGTTAGCTCTGCTCAGCAGAGGCTCCAGAGGGGCATAGCTAGCAGGACAGCTAGCTGGGGCTGTTGTTGTCTGTGTTGTTGTTGGCTGGGATCGGATCCCCAGCTAGCGGCTCTTGCTGGCCTTTGTGGGGTCCCCCGAGTCGTTGAGCTCCGAGAAGCGCTGAAGCTGCGCGCAGCAGACACAGAAGANGCCTTTGTGGGGTCCCCCGAGTCGTTGAGCTCCGAGAAGCGCTGAAGCTGCGCGCAGCAGACACAGAAGATGAGGAGACAGCGGGGCTTGCTCTGCTGACAAAGATGAGTGGATAGGCGCATGCATGCGCACGCATGCATCCCTTCTTCTCGCAACCACCAGCAGCAGCAGCCCGGCCAGGGGCTTGGGGCTTGCTAGTGGTGCATGCGGTTCTGTCCCCGCTGCGGAGACAGCACCAGAGGTGGTGTCTCCGCAGACACAAGGCAGCAGCAGCAGCAGCAGCAGCAGCAGCAGCAGCAACTCCTGCTGCTGCCTTGTGTCAGCAGCAGCAGCAGCTGCTGCTGCTGCTGCTGCAGCTGCTAGCTTGTTTCTGTTTCACTTCTCACCTCTCCTTCGAACCAGGCGGCGCGGCTTCGCTCGAACAGCGCCCGCAGCGCCGCGACCGAGTGCCCTTTGGCCTCAGACGCTGTGAGCCCCTCAGTGCCTGCAGCAGCAGCAGCAGCAGCAGCAGCAGCAGCAGCAGCACAGTAACGTTCACACAGATATGTCAAAGAGAAGAGACACACAAACAGTCTCAAGCTGAGCCCGTGTTGCTGCTACGGAGACGCATGCATGCGCATGCATCCTAACTCCAGGTGCAACAGCTGCTGCAGCTCTTTGCTGCGTCGATATGCAGCAGCCGTGTCTGCTACTTTCTGCTGAAGCAGCAGCAGCAGCAGCAGCTGCTGCTGCTGCTGCTGCTGCTACTGGTGCGCTCGCTGCAGCAGCTGCAGAAGCAAATGCAGCAGCAAATATATGAGGGGTCCCTACCCAGGTCATCTGCCTCCGCCGGGTGCTGAAGGGTGTTGCTGCTGCTGCTGCA